TAGGAAGACAGCAACCTGGGGCAATGTGATTGGAGCACAGAGCAGGGTATGGATGGCAGACTGGCTGGTCAGAGAGTGAGAAAAGGTTGTAGTGAAGTCAGTAATCTTCAATCAAACTGGGGCATGAACAAATTCCAGCCAATCAATACTTCCCCAGGCAGAATTAACGGCTTTCTCTTCTGAGTTACTGCTATCGTGTGATCCTGTGTATTTTTTTGTTGCTGTGCTTGCTGCCCTATGTTATAATAATTTGTTTATGTGTCTGCCCTCCTCCCCTCCTCCCTCCCTCAACCCAACCACTAATATTTTAAAACAGAACTTATTCATCTTTGCATCTCCTGAACCAAGAAATCATTGAACTGAACTAAGTCGTAGCTATGCAATCATTAAGAGTGAAGCCATAGCTTATTCCTAAGTTACTTATAGCTCAATATTGTAGCTAGACAAAGTCGTCAATCATTTATCTATTTGTTCATTTATTCAATAATTATTTACTGAATGCCAGGCATTTCTACCTTCCCTTTCTTGTGCCTGAGCATTTTTCCCTTCCACTGGCTCTTAGCATCCCCAGTCCCTAAGTCCGTTTCTCTGCTCTGAACAAAACATGGGATTATTGATTACATCATCAGCAACAAACTGCAGTTTAAGCACCTTCTCAATAGAAAATAAGACTTCCACTTCCACTGACTTATAAAGAGGTCACTGACGATTAAAGGCAGAACATGCCACTACTCATGGGTGGTGAAGACAATGTCTAGCTGTGCCTGGTATGAGTTAAAGCCTCAAAAAGCTTCCTAAGACATGAGTTCTGATCCAGGACAAGGACGAGTAGCACCTATATAAGCAGCAGTAAGGGTGAGGGCATTCCATGAAGACAGTGTGTCAAAGGGGAGTGAGGGGCATGCTTTAGAGCACTTTGCTGGTAGGAATTAATCTGGCCCATAATGGATGCTACATAAATGTTTTTTGATTGAGTCCACGTTATGGGTATGATGTTAAGAGAGACCGAATCGTAAAGTGTTTTGTATGCCAGGCTGAGGAAGTTGGACTAGATACTGGAGGCAGTGGGTAGGCTTTGAAAGCTTTGACTGGGGAAGTTGTGTGTGTGGACTGGCATTTTAGGAAGCTAAATCTAGCTTTAATGTAAATGACACATTGAAGGGCAAGAGGCAAAGGCCCTGAACTCCATCAACAGCAACAATCCTCAAGTGGACGGTGACAGAGGTCCAGGTAGGGTGACCATGGCACTGAGCAACAGGGTTTAAAAGAGCACTGCCTTAGGCTTAGTGTTCTTCTGGTAATTTCTTTATAAATTCAGGTGGGTCCTAACAAAAGGACAGAGGAACCACAGAAGCAGATGGCCTTCCTGAAATGTGTGCCAAAGGGATTCAACGTGTGTCTGAGGGATGAGGGTCTCCACCCATCGCGCAGCTCAGAGGCTCAAGGGCAGATCCCCAACATCATGCGTGTCCCTTCCTGAGCACTCCTGGTGCAGACTCCAAGTCTGACAAGGAAAATGTGCTGTGGTCATCACACCGGGAGAGAGCAGCTGCTCCAAGGTGGAGTCCATTGTCAGGCTCTCCCGGTAGACAAAAAGAGGAAAAGGGCTATCAAAGCATTTCCTGCCCGTGGGAGCCATGTGCTTCCATTAATTCTTTTCCCTGAGTCGGTCTGTCTCCCTCAGGCTAACATCTCTCAGCGTCCACTATCCCAGAGAACAGGACAGGCATTTTTAGCAGTTAATTTTATACTCTTTCCAAACAGTGTGGTTTTTAACGAGAGGAACTAGCTCAGATGTTTGGTGATATGTACTCCTATATTTCATGAGGAATGAAAGAGTGTGGCTAGGGCAGTTATGATTTTTCTGAATTCTGCTTATACCCATCAACCACTTTGGCCCCGTGATTGGTAAAGGAGAGAACAGTGAAGTTTCTGCTTATTCCAGACCTTCAAGGAATTACAGAAAAACAGCAATGAACAGTCTCTGAGTCTCACATTGGTAAAATTCACACCTTATGGAGGAAGTTAGCTAACCATGAAAGTCAGTGAAAAAGTATTTCTAAATGAATATCTGAGTTTTGTGAACCAAATTAACCAGCCATGGGAGAACTAAAAGAGTATTTCCAAATGAGTGGCTGAGTTTTGTGAACTAGTCCGGGTGTGATCTCAGAGAAGCAGTCCTGGAGTAGGACTATCATTAATAAGGTAAAGTGTAGTTTCTGATACACACCCCTGTTCTGGAAAGGATAACGTTACAAAGAAGGTAGATGGTGAGCGTGGTGTGTACAAATATGGGAGACAGAAAGAATGGTGGAATTTGACAAATAGTTATCTAGCTCTTTCATAATCAGAGCCTCTAAGTGCGAATATGGTAGATTATAAAAAATAGTAGGGAATAATCAAGATGCCCTGATCAACAGCCTGCCAATCACCAGGCATGTGAGTGAGGCCATCCTACATCATGTAGCCCTCAGGTGACCTGCCAGATGACCACAGATGTATGAGAGAACCCAACAGAGGACAGCTGAGTTGGCCCAGACCAGAAGAATCCCCAAACTGCCCCAGAGAATCATGAGCCAAATGGAGTAGTTGTCATTTTAAGTCACTAAATTTTGGGAAGGTTTTGCAGGGGAGGAAGAACCGTTCCTCTATCCTCTTGGTGCTTCTGGCTGGCCTAAGAATTAAACTGACATGAGACAGAATAATAAGAGAAAATCAAACAAAGTGTAATAACACATGTACATGGGAGAAACACAGGAAAACTGAGTAACTCGCTGAAATGGCCAAAGCCACCACCTTAAATACCATCTTCAGCCAAAGACAAAGAAGGATGTTGAGGGTAGTGGTTTGAGACTTCAAAGGGGAGGCAGGCAATTGACATGGAGATGGAAAAGCAAATGTTGACTATGCCTTGCAAAGACAATCAGAGATGAAGAGGACTTTGATTAAAAAGCCCTGGTTGGGTTCCTCCCTATCTCACTTAGTTTATATTATACTATAGTTATGGTGAGAGCTCCTTTCTGGGACAGGCCTTCTATCTTAAATTCCTTTAGGCAGTTAGGGGGAAGGTCAGAGTTTCCTTCAGAGTCTCTTGTCTTTAAAAATGATCAAGCCAAAGAGACACATTTTGGGGTGGCCAATTCTGATTCCTCACCGTTTGTTACGCAGCAAAAGCTAAAGGTTGCTGTGGTCTGTCAGGAAGAGGTGTCTGCCGTGGGACTAGTTCTTCAAACCTTACCTAAGTAAGCCAGGGTAAAATTATCCTCAAGCCACTGCCTCCCCCTTTGCTTTCACTTATAATTTGTCCTCCTGCTTGGCAGGTAAATTTCTCCATAAATGAATAAATTAGTGGTCCTTGTTTATATTGCAGACTGTGATTTTGTTAAGGTGAGCAAGTCTTTCTAAGTTTCTCAACCTTAGAGCCCACAATCTTGAATTCCCAGTCTTTCTTAGTTGAGGAACAGAATTTTAGGCAGTAATGCATCCAGCATGTCCTTGTCTTGCCCAAGCAACCAGCTCTGTCTCATTTGTCTAGAACTTTTACAAACCTGACGGCAACATTTGGCTTTTAAAGTTGAAAGAGAAAAACTAATCAGTTTCCTCTATCAGATTCAAAATAAGAAAAAACTAGAAAAGAATAAAGATTCACTGAAATAGATGTGAAATCTAATCAATGGGATACAGGATCCCAGTTTTAACATCTTTCAATGATGATGGAGAATCCATGTGCCGGGCTATGTAATCATGGAAGACTCACATGATCTTCTGATCCCATAAGAATGGTGAAGGTGTAGATGTCGTTAACATCCAAATGCATGTGGAATAGAAGGATAATGCTAGTTCATGCCTCCTCCATGTGACCATGGTCAATCTTAAGTTAAAAACCAGACACTCAGATTGTCAATTTGCCTACATATTATCCCACTCTTGCTTGGCTGACTTATTTTAGTCAATTTATTTCATTAAATGATTGTTCGATGTCATTTTAATATGACCTTAATTGTTGGTTTGATATACATTTAGGTTGGGTTTTTTTTTCCAATTGAAATGAGATAATAGCCAATGGCATTTGGTTGCTAAAAACGTGTTGCAAGGCTTTATATGACAAATGTTCCCACACTTCTCAAGCACAGATTATGGAACTCTCTAAACCTGTCCCATTCACCCTGACATTCTTGCTATATAAGGTAAGATATATAGAATTACTTTTGTGATCAACACAGTCTTATTTTAGCTTGTATACCACTTGAAGCTTTTAAACTTTGCCAGTATTGTCCTTTTCCTTCTTCCCACTCACCCGAATGAAATGCCAGAGTTGCGGCAGTGACTGGTTATATTATGACTCTGAAGCTGGAAGGACAATAGGAGAAAACAATACTTTTCAGTCTTAGATCCATAACCAGAGATACAAACATCATGTCAAGAACAACAAAAGTAGACACTGCCAGCAAACTCAGTTCATAGATGTCCAGAGAACATGTTCACTTCCACAGAACATTTTGAAGCCATTCATGCGAGATGAAACGCAAACAGGGTGCTTAGTGGCAGAGACGCACCCTGGCAGAACGCCTTCTGCCCCCGATGCCTTCCACGTGAGCAATGGCCCACGCCAGGCTTCAGTTATTCAGCACTAATGGGTTGCTGTTGACTGAGCCCTCCTTTGAGATGCTGAGGAGACAAAAAGGATACGGATGGTGGCATGTTGATTTCAGAGATTAGTAAGTTGGTACGTCAAACAAATACCTTTGCTTACGTGAAGTGGGTATGTTCATACTCAACACTTGCTAAGTACCCACCCCATGTTAGGCTCTGTGCCAGAGCTTTGTAATGTTCAACCATGAGCAAAGCACCATCCCTGTCCCCAAGGCACTTAAATTCTGGCTATTTTCACACACATTACCTTACCTCACGCTTGTAACAATCAAGAGAAATAAGTATGCAGGTGTTGTGAGCTGAACTGTGCCCCCTCTGCATTCATATTTTGATGTACTAACCCCCAGGACCTCAGAATGTGACTGTATTTGAAGATAGAGCCTTCAAAGAGGTAACCGAGTGAAAATAAGGTCATTAGGATGGGTCCTAATCCACGATGACTGGTGTCCTTATAAGAAGAAGAGATTAAGACACAGAGAGGGAAGACCATGTGAGGACACAGAGGGAAGATGGCCATCCACGAGGCAGGAGAGAAGCCTCGGAAGAAACCAGTGCTGCCCACACCTTGAGCTTGAACTCCAGCCTCCAGAACTGTAAGGAAGTAAATTTCTGCTGTTTAAGCCCCTCAGTCTATGGTGTTTGGTTATGGTTGTCCTAGCAAAGTAATATGGGAGGTATCATCGTTCTTATTTTACAGCTGATAAAGTAAGGCTGAGAGAGATGAAATAATTTACTCAAAATTTACACATAATTAGTAAATGGATGAGGCAGGATTAGAATCCAGTTCTTTGCACACCCTGCACACTGCTCTGTTTCTTTCCACTGTCTACTGCAGGGCACATCCAACTGTCTAGCTACCTATCAGCCAAGGCCAGTGCTTGGAGAAATCGGGGAGCAGATGTTTTTCCTCAGGGCCGTGCCACCTGCAAATGTTTCCTCCTTCATCAATTTCAGGTGCCCCCTTATCCTCAGTTTCAATTTTCCTCTTCTGCCCACTCTCCCCTTATCATTAAAATCAGGTTATCTCAGTGGAGGGGACTTGCTGTTAGGAAGAAAGCGTTTTCTTAGGTGCTAATTCACTAATTTGTGTAAGTGATTGTTAGTGATTAGGGCCAAACTTTCCCTTTTAAAAGCCTAACTTTAAAAGAAGAGCTTGTCTGGACTAGGAAATGATTTCTCCAGGAGAGCAGGCAAGTGGTAAGTATATTTAGCCGGGAGAAAGGCCTTCCATCCATTTGAAAAATGTATTTTAATTGCTAAAACTACATGCCTCATGGGAGTTTAGCTAATGGTGATGAGGTAAGATTTTTTGGAACAGATAGAATTTATGAGCAAAATCAAAATAATGGCAATGATTGAATGAGAGATAACAGGAACAACATATTTCAGGATGAGATACTAGTTATACCTTGGGTTCACAGTTTGTTTACTCAAAAGTGTATAGAGGTCTGCAATGTGCCTGCAGAGACACGGATGAATGACAATGGGCCACGTCACCACACTGAGCACAGGGGATGACTTCAATCTAGGTCAGTGTTTCTCAATCTGACTTTGCAGCAAAATCACCTAGGGAATGGTTTCAGAACAGAGATAGCAGGTGACCAGCCCCGGAAATTCTGACTCAGTAAATCCAGGAGCTTGGATTTTAAAATGTCCCCCAGGAGATTCTGATAACAGGAGATTTGGAAACCAATCGCCCAGCTGGATGTGTTCTGCCGTCTCTGGCGGCGCAGATGCTCTTATAAATAGCGCCTCAGGTATCGTGGCTCCTATGACTCTGGCATCAGCAGGATTCTCCAACGTCTTTCAGATAATCAAACCTGGACACAGATGAGAAACATGACAAATTGCAGGAGCAAGGAGAAAAGGTAGTGGTGGGAAACAGAAGCTTTTCTCATGGTAAAACATATACGTATCAAAGAAGACAAATATCAGACTGAAACTCAAGGAAAAGAAATTCCAGAAAAGTGACAGAATCTATACACACTGCAGTTATTAAAATTCAAGAGAAATTATACTCTCCTCAAAATATGTCATTTTGGGGGTATGATATTGTTCTTTTGGCTGATGCAGTTTTTCCCTGAGCTCACATCTGTGCCAGTCTTCCTCTGTGTTGTACGTGGGTCACCACCATAGCGTGGCCACCGACGAGTGGCATAGGTCTGTGCCCAGGAACCGAACCCGGGATGCTGAACCTGAGTGTGCTGAATTTAACCACTAGGCAACGTGGTCAGCTCCTAGGGTATGATTTTAATTAATGACAATTAATATGGTAAGAAAAACTCTAGCTAATGCCATCAAATCAAATCCTTTTTAGTCTTATATTAAGAAGTACCACCAAAAGAAGATGTAACTGTCACATAGGGAATGGCTCCCTCACCCAGTGTCCTTCACAGTTAACTGCGGAGCTTTGCAAAAATACGCACTACTGGGCCCAATGCCCAGAGAGGTTGGGACGAGGAATCTATATTTTTAAAACTCCACAGGTGACTGTGATTCTCACCCATAGTGGAGATTGTCTCAGTGACTCTGCCATTGCTTAGATGTGGAAGAAATAGTCATAATATTAACAGCTGGCCCTGGCATGGGCACTCACCAACCAGAAAAAAGGCAGGCTGTTAAAAAACATAGATGGATATACAGAAAGTTATTTCCCTCACATTCTGCCTTCACCAACGATTATTAATGGCCAAACTTTTTTGTGTGTGCGACAAGATTGATCCTCAGCTAACATCTATTGCCAATCTTCCTTTTTTTGCTTGAGGAAGATTCATCCTGAGGTAACATCTGTGCCAATCTTCCTCTGTTTTGTATGTGGGATGCCACCACAGTGTGGCTTTATGAGTGGTGTGCAGGTCCATGCCCAGGATCTGAACTCCTGAACCCTAGGCTGCCAAAGTGGAGAGCATAAACTTAACCACTATACTGCTGGGCCAGCCTCCAGTGACCCAACTTTTTAATTAGGCTTTTGTTTTATTTAAGAGAAATTCTTAAAATGGAATACCAACTGATCCTATTGATCCAGAAAGAAATTCTGTTATGTAAGTGGTACAGTTATTATTTCCCATTTATGTAGAATATGAGATCCAGAAAAGGTCGAAGACATTGTCCAGTCAGATCTGTTTTTCTTCTTCCTTACAGATGCAATCCAGAGATAAAAGAGGAATTCGCTTAAGGCAGAGTTGGGAAAAACCCAGAACTTCAGACTCAGTCTGGTGGTATTCGCTCAACACTATGCTTCTGCCCACAGATGAAGAAATGAAGGTTCAGGAAAACAAACTGCTGTGCCCCTTGTAGGACAATGTCTTTAGTGTATGTGTGTTGTGTGTGTGTGTGTGTGTGTGTATAAAGGGGAGGGTGGAAGAAAGTGGCTACAACAAAACTCTTCCGACTACTTGTCTTCTTTTTTTAAACCACTGTTAAACCTTATTGGGACAGGATATTTATTCTCAAAATTCGGAAAGTTAGTTTTGCCAATACGTAACTGAACCAAATCCACTGTCAATATGTACATACATTAAAATAAAACACATTTGTGTGTGTCTGTGATAACCGCTTAAAGTATCTGGAAACTTTGCAGAACAGTTATTTAAATGAAGAGAGAGCTTAGTAGTCATTTAATTATAATTTTTGTTAAATAGTGACTCATAAGTTTCAAGCATAGTCACAATTTCTTAAAAATTTAATGAGGGAATATATTAGTTTGTAGTTCCCCCAATCTGGCCTCCCAACACTTTTCTTGAAACGTCATCTCTAACCTGTGTTTCGTCTTCAGCTTCCATGTGGTTACTCATTTATTACTAAGTTGCAAAGTTCCTGTTTGACTTTTCACCTCAGGAGACCAATTGTGGGGCAATGGAGTTCCACGAGAAATCCCTATAGAATCTAACCGTGTGTCCAGGTGTGAGACAGTGCCTTACTTTTCAAGATATTAATCATATCTTTTCCTAGAGCCTGATACATAGTAGTTGAGAAGTAAATGTTCCTCCTCTATTTGAAGTCCTTAATAATTCTCTTTTACGTTCAGAGTAAGACTAATACACAACCTCTCCATTTAAGAACTGCTTGCCTTTCTAATTATTGCCCCCGAATGCTTAGGCCCTGAGCCGTATTGAACTGCTTGGAGATTCTCAAACAAGTGACATTCTTTCTTACCTCTTTGCCTTTGCAAATGCTACAACCAAACACTGGAGTGAAATTTTTCCTCTCCACTCTCCTGACTCTACTTTGAAACTTCTTTGTGGAATATTCTAGGATCTCTCCAGGTTGGGTTAGACTTCCTCCAATCCTCCTGGTACTCTCCAAACACGCACACACACACAGACCTGTGCTCCCATATCGTCTTGTTTAAACTCTAATCATACATGTCACTGAATTCTGTTCATTTTAAAATACTTTCTGGCTCCTCTGACAAGGAGAATAGGGATCCATTCTGGCCAAGCTGGCCCACACATAACGGTGCTTACTGTATTTACGTTACGTGAATGAATAGCTTGCACTCTACAACTCCTCAGGAGTGAGAAAGGGAGTTAACTGAGGTATACACCATTCCAGGGAACCCTTATGTGAAGTTTGGAAGGGTAGATGAGGTCCTCTGAAAGGCCACGCAATTCCTAGACCATGGCTTAATCATTTGTTTATTAGGAGGGCTTTCCAAGGGAACATGAGTTGCCTCTTCTGACTACTCTCTGACAATGGGAAAAAATATCAGCAGTCATCCAGCCTGGGCCCTTTCTCAGCAAATCCCATCTGTTGGAGACTCCTACAACTACAAACCTTCTTTTAATGTGGGTCAGGGCAACGAACTGGGCTGAGGGAATAGAATAATGAATCCATAGTTTCTGATTTCCCGCAATGAGCAAACCAAGTCCGAAAGCCTTAACTGACAACTTGGCAGAGACCTTAGATGTGGTCTTTTCTTCCAAGGTGTTAAGCCAGGTGTTACTTTAACTGCAGACTTGAGAGTCCACATCTGAGAAAACTTTGATACAATTAAAATGATGAAACTTAGAAGCTTTCCTCATGTCGTACCAGTGCAAAATCAATAGACAAACAGGCACAGATCAGATAAAAGTGATTTCTCAGAGGACATGGCTTCCTGTCTTTTTGACTTACTAGCATGTAAGTAATTGTTATTTTAAAGGAAAAAGAGAAGTTTAGTTTCTCGCAGAGAAGCTGTCTAACCTAGCGGGTAGGAATGAAGGTTTTGGAGCAAGCCTTTCTGGAGTTGATTCCTGGCTTCATCAGCTGGGTGTTATTGGGCAATTTGCTTCATCTCTCTGTGCTTCAGTTTCATTGCTATAGATACATAGGCACATGCATACATATACATGCTCTTATGTCACAGTACTAGTTAAATGATTTAATACACAAGAAACACCTGGAACATTGTCTGATGAATAGGAAACACTCAATGAAAGTTAGTTATTATTATGATCCTAATGAAACAAATATTATTAATGAGCTATGTCACCTTTGCTGTTTGTATTTCTCCCATTACAATGAAAGGTCTTGAGATACATTTGGCCACCCCTGTGCTGGAGAAGGATTTCTGAACTCAACTGATCCTACCTGTTCTAATGATGTTTACTTTCACCTCATATTAAATAATAAGAGCATTATGAAGTTAAAAATCATCCTTGTGCAATCACATTGATTGCAACTTTTGTTTTCCATGAAGGGGAAAGACAGCATGTTTGTGTAACAGTCTATTGGGAGTTATTACTCTCCACACTGTTGAGGACCATATCCCAATTGCTTTTTAATTTGCTTCCCGTGTTATGATCTTGCAATCAGTTTTCTTAGCAAGACAACTAAGGTAATATGTGCTAATGTGACAAGCGGAAAAGATACGCATTGTACTCTATTGAAAATAGAGGCAGAGTATATAGCTATTGAGTATGTTTAATAAATTCAAGCATTGAACTATGTTCAACGTCCAAGATGTGTTTAAAGTCTTTGAATAGAAAATAAGTTAAGCATTTTCATTGGACGCATGAAGTATGATAGTTATTCTGGAGAAATAAGTTGCTTTCTTCCCAAACCATTTATCAATGTCCTTTGGGGATTCCAGACAGAGAAAATGTGTCACTGACAGGCCCTATCAGAGGTAGGAGGCTCATTCCTAGCACCTGCAAAGAAGACTTTAGATCTTTAAGCAAGCTCAGGTTGCAAGGATGGAGAAATGGGGTCACGGAGCAGAAGCCCTCTTTACAAGCTTCACTTTGATAATCTCAAAACACCATCACCAGCTGAGCCTCCCACTGTCAAAACTCTGCCTCTTTTGCTCTTAATTTATTTTGGTGTCATAGATGACTTTGCAAATTTGATGGAAATTATAAATGCTCCTCCCAGAAAAATGCACACACACACACACACACATACTGCAAAATTATGCACATTCACTTGTGGTTTCCGTGGATGCTCTGATGTAAAAATTCCTTCTTAATGGAGTGATTTTATATTATCTTCAGTAAATGAATATTTGAAAACAGATTTGACCACTTAATTTTCTTTTTAAAAATTTACTGTTTAAAATCCTGACTTCTAACTCTCCCAAAAGATTTTAGATCGCTCACTTCTTTTGTTTTACTATGATCAGCAGCTTCAGAAATCTTGGTAGAAGGTTCTGAAATGCTTGATTTCTAGGCAATTTTTTATTTCTTTCTGCTAGGAAAGTGCAGCAGGCATTGATGCACGCCTTCTTAAAAATATTTTATTATAGTTTTATGAGAAAATAAGCCAAAAGACTGTCATGTTATTCCCATATTGGTTTATATTCAATAAACATTGGTAACCCACAGAATCTTGATCATAATTCAGACTCTAACCTCAAAATATATTGTTTTGGGAAAAAATAAATGTACAAATATACACAGCTACTGTAGCCACAGAGGAAAAATTTCAAAAATATGGAGAGAAAATACTTTTTTAAAACTCACCCTCAATGGATACAGAAACAATAATGTTGATGAGTCAATTCATGAATTTCTATGTCTATATCTTATATTTCAAAGTTGGGAAAGAGAAATTGCCTAGATATTTTACATAAGAATTTGTTTTGAAAAGTCTGGCAATTATGTAAAGCTACTCTAAAGGCACCTTTCACTCTTAGAGTAAAATCCTTAGGAAAGTTTATAATATTTTATAATAAGAAGAATTTACCATCCTATTTTTTTCCTTTGAGACCAATCATCACAGACCAAGAGCAGCTAAGTTTATAATAATTTATTACGGTTGCATATCATTTGTTATGTATAATAAATTATAGAAACCATAACATCTTCATAAACCATTTAGTGTATCATATTCATTTCCTAATGCTTACTGCAGTAACTGTAAGAAATTTAATTAGGTTATATTTTATCATTAGTTAGAAGATAAAAAATTTATAAAATTTTTTCACAGTACTTCAGATTTATAAAGGACCCCATTATTTCAAATTTTGTGTAACCAGTTTGAAATGTATAAAAACCCTTTACAAACCAGAAGGTGGCGTACGGTTTTACTGAGCTGCTGAAAGTATTGCAGTTTCTTGAATTTGTTCTTACACTCATGTGGTGCACTTTTTCAGGCATTGTAATAAATGCAAATAAATAATCAATTACTTATTTCTAAAAATCTATACCAATAGACAACATTGAAGCTTGGCCACATTCAAATAAGAGTTCCGTAAACAGTTGGAGCATAGTATTCTCTCTCGGTGTCCCCCTCTCCCTCCTCCCTCCCTCTACTGAGTTTGATTAAGGAAAAGAAGTTCAGGTTGAATTTAAGTCCCAGGGCCAGACAAAGACCCTGGCTACAATCTTCCCCAGCCGTCTGTTATCTTCGGTTTCAGTTCTCATTACATCTGTCCAGACTCTTCTCCTGACACCAGCATCAGTCCTTTCCCACAGGAAGAGCTTTCAAATCCTTGCTGAAAGCATTTTCTTCTCCACTGTAACAGCACAGGCATGAAATTAGCTGGAGACCTGGGAACTAGTTTCTTCTGTTCCTTTCCAGCCTCCAGAGTCCCGACGGAACAGAAGCTCGCAAGGCAGCAACAAAATGCTGCATGTGTTTGGGTCTCACAGACTCACTTGGTCTTTAAATGTCCACTCTTGGATAACGTCCTTATCCACTCTCTTGGCCTCAGTGAACTTTGATGGAATATTTCCGCAGTTTGAGGAACTGGAAAAGCTTGTCTTTCGTCCTCTTCTTCAGGGCCATCAGGGCTCGTGTTTTCTCCTCCAAATCTTGATCTATGGCAAAAATGATCTTTGCTCTCTCCTCTGCTTTCTTGTCCCCAGAGTTTTTGAAGAGCCTCTGTAGGGATTCCTGGTCTATATTTTCAAAGATGTTGCCCACGGCTTTCTTCCTCGAGGCTGTGTCGAAATGATAGCCATGGATGGATGGACTCACTCGCAGCGAGGTGGACATGGTGACGGCTTGGCGGCTGGGCTTGGCTTTCATCGATGGGAGATCTTCAGGAATTCAGCTCTGGATCTCCAGAGTCTGTAGCAAACTCATTCCGGGACTGCTATTTAAAGCGTGAACAAAGGCTCCTGGCTCAAATTACACTGGTGACATCAGAGTGATCTCAAGGAAGAATAATCCCAGAAAAGTTTAACAGTTGAATTGCCAATATCCTGTTCTTGTGCAAAATGTGACGGAAAGCTGTGTTTGGTAAGGCGGCAGGGATGTGGGGATTTCTTTTTACCTCATTTGTGGCCAAAACATTACAGAGACTTGGGACCCTCTTTAAAAAACAGCTGAAACCAGGAAAGTACAAAGATAAGACACAAACAAGGTAGCCTAAACTCTTGAAATCTTTCCAAACAGCAAAACAAAGCATTCTGCTAACTGCGGGAGAGTTTTAATTTCCAGAGAAGTCATTACAGTGTACTCCAGATGTTTGGCAGCCCACACCAGTGCCCTTTGGACGTCCCTATCCAGGGAATCTCCAGAGCTGTTAAGGGAAAGCTTAACAATCACGGATGTCAATTTCGAGGAAACCTGATTGTGGAAAGGGAGTTTACCTACAAAACGCTGACATGACACTGCCGGAAACTGTCACCTTTCAGAGACTGTGTATAGTGTATAGTGCTAATCTATAATCATTGAATAAAATTATAATTTAATAATAATAATAATAGACAATATCTCCTTAGGCTTCCGTATTTATCAACAACAATACTATCAAAAAAGTGGGGAGAAAAAGTTAATCAGCTGCTTTATGTACATAGTATTCAAAAGGAATGAGTTGACTTTTTTGTTTAACATTGATTTTGGCATCACGCAGACATAGAGCAATCAATATCTTCATTGGAAGGATTTAAATTTGTTCTTCCCAACTTCCACAATATTCAGCCAGCCAGTGTCCCTACTGATGTATAGAGCACTTACATTCAACCAAATGATGTATGTCAACTTCACAGGGCCCCAGAGATTTCTCTTTATGGCCCTTCCACCTGGTCCACTTTCTAGTACGCTAAGAACAGGGATGTCTCCAGTGCTCCAAGGGCTGGTCTTCATTTTCCTTCATCTAGTCAAGCCAGATCTAGAAAACGCACAAAAGGAGAGAGAGTGGGGAAGGTACCTCACTAGGAAATTGAGGTGGAGACTCTTCTTGTACATTCATTGATTTAGTCACTCATTTATTCGATCAGTTTTTGTTAAAGGTCTACTTTTAGCTAGGACATTTTTAGGTATTGGAAATATAACAGTAAACCAGACCCAAACCAAACAGCAAAAGAAATCCCTGCCTTACCTTAATGTAGCTTACGTTCCACCGGGAAATCGGCAACAGAACAATGGGCATTTATAATACAGATCGTGTCAGAAAGTAATACCTATGATGGATGAAAATGAAGCAGAGTTGTACAGGAGGAGAAGGGGAGGGTTGAAATTAACCTAGGATATTCAAGAGCCACTTCTTTTAATGTGACATTGTGCAAAGACCTGAAGGAGGTGAGGCAGTAAGCTGTGTCAATGTTTAGAGGAAGGGTGCCATAGGCGAAGGGAACAGCAAGTGTAGAGGCCTGAAGCTAAGAGTATGCATGGAGTGTGTGAAGAAGAGCCAGGAGGTCAGTGTGCTTGGAGCAGAGCCAGGGAGAGTGGGAGGAAGTGAGGCCAGGGTGAGAGGGCAGTGGGAAGAGGGCGGGGCCAGGTTGAGCACACCTGTAGGCTTTGTCATGGATTCAGCTTTTACTCTGTAGAAGATAGGTAGTCTTTGGGGAATTTGGAGCAGAGAAATGGCAAGATTTTATTTATAATTTTAAAAAATAGCTGTCATTTCTTAGTAGAGAATAGACTTTGGGGAGGCAAGCAGCGCATGGGGAGCAAAAAGACTGGGTAGGAGACTTTTAGAGGAGTCCGGGCAAGAGATGATGAGGGCCGGGAAGGAAGTCGTCGCACAGGTGGGAAGAACTGGGCGGATTCTGGGCATGTTGAGAAGGTTACGTCAAAAGGATTGCTGAAGGCTCCCATGTGAGGAATGAAGGACAGACGGGAGCCCAGCATGCTCTCCTTCCTGAAGGATGCTGCCTTGAAAGGCATTTCTAGGTGAGCTGGTGTTCAACTCACCAAACATGGCAGCTGATGCTTGTTCCAGTTTTTCCATGGAAGACCCTATGTCCTGTGACTATGACTATGGATTTACTGGCATGTATGGCATGTCTTGCGGCAGCCCATCTCCCTCACTACTAGGAAAAACTATTAGGGGCCAGCCCAGTGGCATATTGGTTAAGTTCGCACACTCTGCTTCAGTGGCCCAGGATTTGTGGGTTTGGATCCCGGGCACGGACCTATACATGCTCATCAAGCCATTCTGTGGCAGTGTCCCATATACAAAATAGAGGAAGATTGGCACATTTAGCTCAGCAGTGATCTTCCTCAAGCAAAAAGAGGAAGATTGGCAACAGGTGTTAGCTCAGGGTCAATCTTCCTCACACAAAAAAATTAAAAAATAGTTATCATATCAATAAGTATTTTTACTGAGTTTTTATCAAGTGCCAAGAAATTGGCATAATCCATCTTAGTTGCTGTCATTCCTCAAAGCTTTGTCAACTTTCTCATGCTATGGTTCTTTCTTGAGACGATTCCTATATAACTCATGCTTTTTATCCCCTATTCATTAATTACTCCTAAGTTTTGATTCCCAGTCTATCCTTGTGCTGTGAGGTATATATTCATTTATTTAACTAATCAATACATATATAAATATGATATATGTATTTATACTATATATAAATATGATATAAATATTTGCTCAGTTATAAAAGCCAGAAACCCAGCTACAATCTTTGATATCCTTGATATCTCCTTCTCTTCCTCCTCCATCTGAGTTTATCCCCTCCGTATATCTACCACTGACTTTTGTCAAGTCTGTCTACAAAATGTTTCTCGGCTCTATCCGCTCTCTCTCCATTCTTACTGACACTGTTTAGGCAAGCCTCCATGTGGTGGATGCTGCGATGCACAACCTGGAACTCTGTTTAAGATTTCCCCAGATGC